GATTATGTAAAGGTGCAAATTTCCAATGATGAATGTCATTATATTGTATACCTAAAACATACCAATAAAATAAAATTATTTTAAGAAGGCACAAACATGGCTGCTATAATGGGAACAGTCTGGAGCCCTTAGTACCACCCTCAGCTGTCCAAACTTTACTTTCCCACGCCCTCCCCTCCTCCAAATTCTGCCCCAGCTAATATAAATGATTCTTTATACTGTTTTTTCTAGACCAGCAATGAAACTTTAACAACTGTTATCATTTTAGGTTATTAGTGTCAGCTACAAGTTGTACAGAAAATCTAATATGGCTTCTATAACAGTAAGGACAGTTCAATGTCTTACATTCAAATCCATAGGTAGAGTAGTTTCTAGATTGTTTGATTCAGTGGCTCAGTGATATCAATAGAGATTAGATTCTATTTTGGGCTCTGCCTTCCTCCATGTCATGACTACTCAGACTCCCTCATAGTCATGAGATGACTATAGCAACAGCAAACATTACATCCTTGCACAAGACATACCCTTTCCTCATATTCCTTCTGGAGAGCTAGGAAGGTTCCCAGCTGACTTCCCTCATTTCCCATTAGCCACAATGATGTCACGTGCACATTTCTTGGCCAATCATTGACAACTGGAATTATATCATCATGATTCGTTTACACAAATCTGAATTTACCTATTAAATTGAGGAAGGATTTAACCTTTCTTGAAATCCATGACAAACTCACATCTGAACAACAGCCAGATTCTGGTGTCAAGGGAAGAGGGAAGAAATGGACAGTTGTCTACCATCCCATCCCATTAGGAATATGCTGAAAACTCAATGTCAAAATTCCAGGGCTGCCCTTTATCCAAGGTACGACCTTGAGCAAGTTACTCAACTGCTCTGGACCTCTGTTTCCTTATCTGTAAACTGGAATTTTACAGTAAGGTAAGTACAGATAAGGTAAGGTACCTCCCTTACCTACCTTACAGGGTTATGGAGAAAGATAAATGAGATTGAACGTATGAAATAATTTTACAAAGCACTTTACTAATATCAAAGCTTGTTACTAATTTAATTCTTAGAAATAATGAGTACAACCAGAACTTCTATGAAAAGGTAGAACCTAAGCACAACCTAAATTCTAAAAACTCATTTGATTTAGCTGTTACTTTTACTCTAAATTTCATAATATTGCTTACCAAAAAGACATCATACAGACCTTTAGAAGTAACACTATTATAATACACTAAACAGTGAAGATACATGTAGGAAGGCTGTGACCTGCAAAAGATTGCATCTGGCATTCAGAGAACAATATGAGGAGTATTCAATTGCCATTTGTCTATTCTGCTCTTTAAGTTTTCATTTTGCATGACTGTGTTTTTCCTGCCTTGTAGACAGGATTTTTACCACATGTATTTTAAATATTGTCTTACTGGCCACTGGAATTCAGAGCTTTGCTTATTACAATCCTATCTATAACAAAGAAACAGGTTAATGGAAAAACAAAGCTATATCATCCTTGGATGAGATCCAGGTGCTAGCAAGCAGCCACTAGATCAATGGGTTTAGGGAGACACCTGGCTTCTGTGACATCTCTAAATTCTAAGTCTGAGGGCTGCATGGAAATTTATAGGTATATGACTGAAATAAATTAGGCAAAACTCTTACTTATCTTACTTCAGGCTTAAAAGCCCTCATGGTTCTCTCAGATCTTGAACAAAGTCATGAACTTGGCAATCAAGGACTATACTTCTTAGGATTCAGGTTAAGTTGATATTACCCAGAGCCAAATATACACTGGTTTAATATCTTTCTCTTTCTCTCTCTCTCTCTCTCTCTCTCCTCTCTGCTTACTGTCTGGAACTGCTCTTGCCTATGCACTGCTAAACACACATCTCTTCCCTTAATGGTCATGACATAGGAGTTGCACACATCACTTTCATTTACATCCCATTGACTAATACTTTGTCTTACTATCATATCTAGCTCACCATCATATGCCAAACTAAATTAAGACATTTCCAGACCTGATGATATTGCAGATGATCAATTCAAAAACTTGAGGTACATGGTCTTGAGAAGATGCCTGGGATATAAGTGCCCTTTCAGCTTTTTATGCCATGGCCAACCATGGCATAAAAATGAGATTGGCAAAACGAAAATTTTTCATTTTGCCAATCTCATTCCCAACAAACAATTCTATTTGATGAGTAGACCAGTGATGTTAAAAATATAACAACTTTTTTTTTGGTACCGGGGATCAAACTCGGGATCTTGTGCTTTTGAGGCAGGCAGCAGAACCACTAAGCTAAATACCTAGTCCCAATGAGGTTAAAAATACAGGTGAGCTTGCTGCTTTCTAAGCAGCAAGCCTGAGAAGGAAAGCCAGTGCTTATTATTTCAGTCATGTTGCATTACATGACTTCAGTTGGGAAGTAATTTTTTAGTACCATCTCGTCATTGGATAGAGAGGAAAGTAAATAAATTCTCTCCCTGCCTGATGATGCTATAGATCAAAGTGTATGGGTATCCAAGGACATGAAATACTTAGGCTTGGTGGACACATTTCAGAAAACCTTTGCTAATCATTTACTCTTGTTGTGATCTAAAAGGTCCATCAGAAGCAAAAGAATTCAGAGGATGCTTTAGGTATTTCTGATGAACTGATACCTAACAGAATTTTAGCTACTTAAGTTGAAAATGTTTTAGCTTTCCAAAATGGTATCACATAAAGCTGGGGATATAGCACAGTGGCCAGCATGTGGCAGGCCGTGGGCTCAATCCTCAGCACCACTACCAAAAAAAAAAAAATCCCAAACAAAAAAACAAAAACCTCAAAATGGTGCTACAATTTACAAATGCATATTTTCATGCAAATGAGAAAATTCTATAGGGAGGTGTTCATGATATAAGGTGTTCTGCATATTTATTTATTCTCTGAGTTCTGGATGAGCTGTGTGTTCATCCTCAACAGCAGTGATGAAGGCCTTAGGTCTGTCACGGCTCCATGCCCAGCTTGGCAGATACAAGTATTATCTGACCCTGGGCTCTGTTGCTTGCAATGTTGATTTGGTTTAGGTCTCCAGCTCCCCTCCGTTATTCCTGGCTTGACGTGTACCCTTCCCGTAGGGAGGAAAGCAAAAGCTCTGGCTTTGATAAAGACTTGACCTACTAGGTTGTAGCTGGGAGTTGGACAGATATGCAGGGTACCAACGGGCTCCCTTATTCTAGGCACTGAAAATACAAGAGCTTTTTAGTTCAAAATGCTTAGCCTGATCCTTAGACTCCCAGGCTGAGAAGGCGGTACGTCTGTACCATGTGTGACCTGAACATAAAGGGTAACCCCCCTCCCCGCCCAGAATCTTAACTGTAAAGTAGGCACAATACATAATAATAACCAGCCTCATAGGACTTGTCAGGCACACAGTCACTACTCACTGGCAGCTACAGACCGCCTCTCAGCCGGACGCAATGCGCACTCTGGTATCCTCAGTCGCTCACATACATTTACGCTCCCGACCTCAGACCTCACGGGCTGAGTGTACCAGCTTTCCTGGTCCCCAGCGGAGGGCAGCCGAGAGGCGGTGCTGGTTTCCTGTCCGGCGGGTTTAGGCCGCTGCACCCGGAAGTGGCGGCTGGAGCGGGAGCGTTGAGGGGTCGGCCGGCGGGACAGCCACCCGGAGCGGGGCGGGGGCGTTGGCCATGTTCCCCTTCTGTCCCCGTAGCCCTAGCGGGGACGAGGCGGCCGAAGCTGAGGAGCCAGCGCCCCACAATGGGCAGACAGCAGCCGTTAGGCCGCCCTCACCCGCTACCCCGCCCGCACCTCCACAGCCCGAGGCTGACGCCGCCCTTCGTCCGCCGGCAGCCCAGAGCTCTCGCCGCCCTGGCGCCCCCGCGCCACCCCCTGCCGCGCGCGCCGGAGATGTAGAGCTGCCCGGAGCGCTGGAGCTGTCGGCTACCTCTGCCCAGGGAGAGCCATCCTCTCCGCGCCGGCCGCCCGGGCCAGCCTGCAGGGCCAGGAGCCGGGGCAGGCACAGCCTCAGCGCGGGCCTGGGCGGCCCAGGCGCTAGACTGTTCGGGTGGCTGAGGGAGCGCAGCCTGGGCCGCGGGCTGTTCGTGGACCCGGCGCGGGACCATTTCCGCACCATGACTAACCTCTATGGTTCCATCCACCCCGCAGACTCGGTGTACCTCAGCACACGCACCCACGGTGCAGTCTTCAACCTGGAGTACTCGCCCGACGGGTAAGCGCGGCCCCTAGTAGGACGGGTACCCGCTCCGCCGCCCCGAACCCATCCCTCGGTTCGTGTGGGATCTGCGAGTGCGTTTTCGGCCGCCCTTCACGCCCCCTGGTACTTTAGGAAATGCCTTGTCTCTGTTGAGCCCCCATCCTGACCTTCTGAGGTAGCCAGGCTTATTTTGCTTCCCTTCCTGACTCTGGAGGCTCTGTAAAGGGAAGATACTTGAAGCCACACAGCAGGTCTAGCAGCCAGCCGAGGCTTTTTGGTACACAGCAGGTGCTCAGTAAATACTTTTAAAATAAAAGCCCGTCCTTTTGCTGTCCATCCTAGGCTTGCTTTTCTCCTAAATTTGTGTCAGAGGTAGGGAATCTGCAGAATCTCTGTACCCTATGCCTGAATTTGTCGTGAGAAGACAAGTATGCATTCCAGTGCTCAAGAAAGATAACACCACAAAGAGGCATCTCTCCTCCTTTGGCCCATTTGTAAAGTTCTGAAGCTAGACCACATGCTTTTGTTAAGGGCTAGACGTCTTCTTGACATCTTGGCTTGCTTTGGGCCATGGGGAATTTTCAAAAATAATATTTGTATTATTTGTATATTGTATACTTTGTCTTGAGTATACAAGTTTAACAACGATTAAAGGAAAAATGTGAACATATTTTCACCACAAAATGACATAGTTAATATAATTCTTACCACACCAAGGATCTGGGTTGCTAGTTATTTCATTCATTTATTCATTCATTCCCACATTCACCAAATGCTCTTTGAGCACTATGTTCCAAGTGCAGGGCTGACAGTGTCGAGCAAAACTAGCTAATGCCACTGCTTTCATTGAGTGAGACCTAGTAGTTCAATTAGATATTAGATAATCATACTAAATAATGCATAATGTATATTTACAAATTGAGATAATATCTTGAAGAAATCTGTTGTGGACTAAGATATTTGATGTTTTCCTTAGAAAGGGATAGTTGAACCACGATCAGAGGAATTAAATTAGTAGAATGTAAATGAGTCAAGATAGGGTTGGAGAGAGGGAGTATTCTAGTTAAAAACTGGTATATCAAAAATACCTTTGGTAGGAAAGAAGCAATATATCATCATGTTAGAGAAGCTAAAAAACAATTTTTTCTGAAGAAAGAACTAAAATATGCTAAGGAAGGAGCAAAGGAATAGAATTGAGAATAGGTTAGCCATATTGCATTACACTGATGAAATTTTTTTTTTCTTATCATATCTGGTGCTATGATCTCTGGAATTTCTCGTTTAGCAATTTGGTGGAGCTTGTAGCAGTGAGTATACCTGAGTAAAGGAGAAAACTGGTGAGAGGAGAAACTTGCTGAAGCTTATTCATGGAACTTTCCTCCTTCCACGACCTGTTCCTAAAACCTTCCCAGACCAATCCCCGAAAGTCTGTTTTTCATAAATATTCATTTCCTTTCCTCCCTGTATCCTGGCTCCTCTCTTCCCAGCCTTCTACTTACGCTTTCAGGACTTAAGAAGTTGCTGTTTCTACTCTGTAGAGGTGCAATTTTAGTTAAAGAATGGTGGTGATAGGATGAATTATGAAGATTGAGTTTAAATTGGCAGGGCAGTTAGAATGAGGGGATATATTATTCAGAATACTTTGTTTGAATTTGGACTGCATTTTCCCAGAAACTTTTTCTTTTAAACCTAGGGGCACTTTACCACTGAGCTATATTCCTTGCCCTATTGTTTGTTTTAGGATAGGGTCTCACTAAATTGCTCTGGCTGGCCTCAAACTTGCATTCCTCCTGTGTTTGTCTTTTGAGTACCAGAGACTTTTTTTAAGGTAGTTAGGTACTCTGGTACTTAAAATAATTCAGTAATTTTTAATCACACAATATATACTTATTGTGGTAAACCTAGGCAATAAATGAACTAAACATCACTTATAATCCTGGAGATTATATGGATTCTAAGAAAATTTTTTGTTATGTTTATTTAAATATAAACATGTAATCATACTATTTTGTAGCCCACTTTTTTCCTGCAGTATATTGTGAACTACTTATGTTAATAAACAGATTTCTACAATAGTGTATAAATCCTTGTGAACAAGTATCTTAGATTTGTATCTTCAGATTAAATCCCTAGAATGAATCAAAAGTTATGATTTTGATACATATTGTTTGTTAAATAGCTGTCGATGAAGATCATACCAATTCTCATTCCTGTCATATACATATAAAAGTATCTAAAAACTCCCATATCCTTGCCAGTACTGCATATTGCCATTCTTTTTTTATCTTTGTCAAGGTGAAAATAGTTCAGTGTTTTAATTTTTCAGTATTCTTACTTTATTTTTTGATATCAATTTTTTGATACGGGGGGCATACTGGGGACCATGCGCTTATGAAGCAGGCAGCGGCACCACTGAGCTAAATCCCTGGCCCTCTTACTTTTATCTAGTAGCATGCCCAACATTTGTTGAAGAGCTGAAGCAGTTTTATAGACAGATGCTGTATCTGTATTGAGAAAGATAATTTTTCTTTTCCTTTTTTTCCGTTGGTACCGGGAATCGAACTCAGGAGATAATTTCTTATATCCTTCAGTTATATGTGAGTTAAATCAGCTTGCCAGATACAGTAATCACTATCACTTACAAGGGCTTCTCGAAGTAAAGAAGGAGTAATGACATAGAATGTAAGAATTAAATTTGAAAATTTAATAGAGACCAGACTAGAAGTAATTTAGTACTAAAAAAGAAATAAAAGGATATATAGACTAGAAAGTAATTTCCAAAGAATTGTAAAAAACTTTTTACGTGATAGGAAAATTGTCAAAATAAGTATATTGCCTCCTCAGATGACATTTTGAAAAAGTACATTTCATAATGTTATTTATTAAATTAGATAAGACTTTCTGAAGCTATCCTCTACACGAATACATTAGGCACAGAGAGAATTTGTATTTTGGAAAATAGAAGTGAAGTAATTATCCAGAATCAGATCATAAAAATTTAGAGATTGAAAATATGAAGGAAGTTTAGTAACATGAAACTTAAAGAGAAAAGGCCAGATATTTATTTAGAGTTTCTGAAGAAACTAAGACATTAATAGGAGGGGAGGGAAAAAAATTTGAAGAAAAAAAAGCCCAATAAACCCAAGTGGTAATTCTCCCTGTACATATAATAAAACTGCAGGAAAACAAATATAACAATTCAGTGTTTTAAATTATTTCTGTAATTTTTATGTACAGTGACAGACACTCAGATTAACTAGGCATACTATGAAAAACCAATAGAAGTGCCACACCATATAAATATACCCTTAGGAGATCCTAACATTAAAACTATAATATGATTAAGTAATTAAAAGACAAAATGGAGAAATTTTGCAAAGAAGTAGAAACCATAAGAAGAAAAGGAAAGAAAAAAAGAACAAGCTGGGTGTCATGTCGCACACCTATAATTCCACCAGTCTGGGAAGCCAAGGCAGAATTGAAAGTTTGATCCCAGCTTGTGCAATTGAGTGGCCTTTCAAGGCTCTGTCTCAAAATAAAAGAGAGCTGAGGATATATTTCAGTGTGATGGCCCTGGGTTCAATCCTCAGTACCACAAAGGGGAAAAAAGGATGGAAATTCTAGATCAGAATGATAGAATAATGGTTGATTTGAAATTTAAAAATAAATGAGTATATAAATTACTTCATTAACATATTAAAGGAAAAATATAGGAGTAGCTCAGTAAATGCTGAAAAATGTTTAACACAATTTCACACATTTTCATGGGAAAAGTAACAAAGCAAAGTTAAAAGTAGAAAAGAATTTTCTTAATCCAGTAATAAGAATCTCCAAAAACAAAAAACAGGACCACAAAAACTCTACAATAAATATAGTATTTAGTGGTGAAATATTGAAGGTATTCTTGAAGATTAGAAACAAGATAAGGGTACCTATTGATATTTCTGTTAGGGCTGGGGATTTAGCTCAGTGGTTCTGCCACCTGCCTCGCAAGCGCAAGGTCCCGAGTTCGATCCCTGGTACCAAAAAAAAAAAAAAATTTCTGTTCAACAATATTCTGAAAGTTCTAACCAGTATAGCAGGTAAAGGGAAGGAAAAGTATTTAAAAAGAAAAAGCAATTGTTTGTAGATACGATTGTTAACAAAAAAACCCTTAAATCTACAGATAACATTAAAAATAGACTGATAGTTCATGTTATCAGGAAACAAAACAGAGTTTTAAAAAATTTACAGAAATGGGGCCGGGGATTTAGCTCAGTGGTTTCGCCACCTGCCTCACAAGTGGAAGGACCCAAGTTCGATCCCCGGTACCAAAAAAAAAAAAAAACAACCAAAAAAATTTACAGAAATATCAAGTAGCCAAAAATAAATGTAACAAGATAGGCATGACCTAAATGAAAAAAAACTAGTTCAGCAAGTGTGGTTGAGCTGGGATGGATTCCTCCTCGTCTTCTACAACTTGTTTGGGCACAGTAGACCCACAATTGCAGCATTTCATCGAGGTGGAGACTCAGAAGCAGTGCTTCTAGCAGCCAGTGTACCAGATGACTGAATTTTTTTGGGGGGGGGAAGTGCATGGACAGGGCCGGGGATTTAGCTCAGTGGCGTCGCCACCTGCCTCATAAGCACAAGGTCCTGAGTTCGATCCCCAGTATCACACACACACAAAGTGCATGGACAAGCCTGGATCAAAGTTGGACAGTTGGGCTGAGGTTTATTTAGTGAACTGCGTTGAGCACTTTATCAGTACGAGCCAATTCATCTTGAATTAGCTGGAATAGACCCAGAAATCCAAGCCAGTCCTCCCAGAAAGCCTTTCTGACTGACTTCAGCATTACCTCTTTGGAAAAGAAAGACAATGAAAGACCTCCACAGTGAAAATTACAGAACACTGAAGAAGACACTAGAAGATGGAAAGACTTCCCATGTTCATGAATAAACAATATTGTTAAATGACCATGTTACTAAGAGTGATCTACAGATTCAGTGCAGTCCTCGTAAAAATTCCAACGACATTCTTCACAGAACTGGAAAAAACAATACTAAAATTCATATAGAAACATAAAGGGCCCAGAATAAACAAAGCAAAGCAGTTAGTATCACTTAGCTTGATTATAGTAATCATTTCATAACATATGTAATAGATATAAAATCTCAAAACATGTTATACACCTCATATTATTTTATTTGTCAGTTATACTCAATAAAAAAAACTATAAATTTATTGGGATAATTACAGGAGACTTCAATTAAAGAGTGAATCTTCATAGACTGGAAGACTCCATATTGTAAAACTGTCAATTCAAACTTTTCTTTAGAATTAATATAATAATTAAAATCCACAACAGGATTTTGGGGATATGTACATAATTTGAAAATTTGATTCTAAGTATATAACAATGATCAAGTGTCTAAAAATTGCTAAGACACTTTTGCTAAGAACATCTTGAATATGTGGGAAGGAATGTATGATATAAATTCTGGATTTAATTCTCAGCAGTGGAAAAAAAATAGGCACAAGTAAGCTGGGCATAGTGGTGCATGCCTGTAATCCCAGCACTCAGGAGGTTGAAGCAGGAGGATTGCCCTGAGTTTGAGGCCAGACTGGGTTACGTAGTAAGCTCAAAGCCAGCCTTAAAACTGAACTACATAGCAAGACCCCGTCTCAAAAAAAAAAGCCCAAATAATCTTTAAAATCACTGCATTCCGTTAAAAATCCCAGCATTGACATACTATATTAAAAACTCATTCTAGAAATTATGCTTAAAATTTTTTTTAAAATTAAGGTACTAATTAGCCAAGAAAAAAATGTTTACAAATCAATGAAGGGGTCTTGCTTTTCCACATAGCAAATATACCATAAACCTTTTAGAAAATAAGATAGTGTGTGTGGCATAGACTCTAAAAATATATATGATATCATATGTGATAACAGTGGTATTACAAGCCAACGAGAAAACTGATATTGAAACAAATACCAATTAAAATTATGTATCACATTATATATAAAATATGTTATAGCTGGGCATGGTGGCACATGCCTGTATAAGAGCTAAGTCAGGATTACAAATTCAAGCTCAGCCTAGGCAATTTAGTGAGACTATGTCTCAAAGAGGGGAGGGGCCCTGGGGATGTAGGCCCTGGGTTCAGTCCTCAGTACCACACACACACACATTATAATTGGATTAAAACAACTCTAATCCCCAGTACCAAAATTAAAAATAAAACAACTTAAGATTTTAATATAACTCTTATTTACACTGTTTAAGAACCTCCCAGAATATTGATTTACTTACTTAAAAGGGGGAAAGAAAGTTCATTCTATGGCTCTGTTGTCTAACAAAAAAAAGTGGCTTCTCTCACATTCATTTAATCATCCCCCCTTTCCTTCTTTCCACCCCCTCTCTGAACCCAGTACCTTCTCACTGACCTACATCCTCAACTCATTTAAAAATTTTTTTGAGACAGTCTCCCTAAGTTACCGACTTAACAGTCTGAACTCAAAACTTGCAGTTTCTGCCTCAGTCTTCCCAAAGTGAGAAGTGCTATTTTTATATCTTCTAGAATTACACATATTAACTTGAATATTTTTACTAATGATGGTTAAATAGTACAAAAAGCTGTCTTAGTCTATTTTCTCTTGCTATAACTGAATATAACAGACTTGCTATGTTCTAAAAAATAGAGTTCTTATTTAACTCTGGTTCTGAAGGCTGAGAAGTCCAAGAGCATGGCACTAGTGTCTGGTGAGAGCCTTCTTGGTGCATCATAATGTGTCTCACGTGATGAGACAGAGCAAGGAAGCCAGAGAGAGTTTATTTCATAACAAAGCCACTCACATGGTAATCCATTAATATGCTAATCCCTGAGGGTTCACCTGTTCATAAGGGCAGAGCTCTTATGACCCAACCACCTCCCAGAGATCCCACCTCTAAACACTGCTTCATTGAGGACCACATTTCCAGTATATAAAATTTGGACACCCTTGTTCAAACCATGGCAAAATCTTTCAGATATTATTAAACTTTGAAGTTCAGATATTAAAGAAGGGTTTATGCTGATACCCTTTAAAGCATAATTTCAGGATGGCTAAATATGGAAAAGATTTTAATTTAATAGATTTTTTCCACCTCCACTTTATCAGAAAGTTTGGCTATTTAAAATTCTGTCTTTTGTACTCTTTTCCTTTTTCTTTTCAGAACTAGGGATTGAACCCAGGCCATCACACTGAGCTACATCCCTAGCCCTCCCCCATCTTTTTAAAAATTTTTAAATTTGAGACAGGGTCTTGCTAAATTGCCCAGGCTGGGTTCAAACTTGCAGTCCTCTTATTTCAGCTTCCCACAGTGTTGAAATCCCACTTGTGCATAAAATTCCATTTGTTATGGGTACTGTAAATTGAGAAGACCTGAAGTTTCGGAGACACAGGATATTATTTGCTAGCTCTGAAATAAGAGCTGAAAGAGCAGTGTCCACAGAAAATAAAGATGTAAGTAAAACAATGGATTCTCACAAATAATGAAGTTCATAAAAGGTTTATAAAAATATAAAATATAAATGTAACTTTAAATATTAAAAAATATAACTGTAGTAGGTAAGACCTGAAATAAAAGTCAAAGCTAAAATACCATAAAGGGAAAGACAGATAAGTTTGACTATATCTAATTGTCCTGGATGGATATAAGTCACACCTTTCTGTAGAGCATTTTATAGATACTGGTGAAGAAATATATAAATATATAATTGTATATGACACTTCTTCCTAAGTTTTCTCATATATGCATATTTTTCTGCAATTACATTTTCTCATTTGAGCATATGTTTTAGTTTTTCATATCCATATAAAGCTATTCCTTTCTTTTTAATGTCTTCATAGTACAGTAGTTTCCCATTATCTGTGGTTTCACTTTTCAAGATTTCAGTTCCCCACAGGCAACTGTAGTCTGAAATATTTACATGAAAAATACCAGAAATACACAACTCATGTTTTAAATTTCACACCATTCTATTTTTCCTGAATAGCAGTTGAACCCAAGGCCTTCCACCACTGAGTTACACATTGCCAGCCCATTTTTATTTTTTATTTTGAGATATAGTCTCACTAAATTGTTAAGTTGCCCAGGCTAGACTCAAACTTGAGATCCTCCTGCCACAGTCTCCCAGAGTTCTGGGATTACAGGCATGCAATACCACCCCTTGCTCACATAATTCTTCATAGTTAATGAAATCTCTCATCACCTGGTTCTGCTTTACCAGGCTGTGAATCCTCCTTTTGTCCAATGTATCCATGTGATTCAGCTACTCACCTATTAGTCACTCAATAGCTATCTTAGTTATCAGATCAACTGTTATGGTATCCCAGTGCTTGTGTGCAAGTAACCCTTATTTCATGTAATAATAGTCACAAAGCACAAGAGTAGAACGTCTAGCAGTTTCAACAAAAAGAAGCTTGAAGATATGTCCTTCAAGTGAAAAAGTGAAAGTTCTCTACTTAATAAGGAAATGAAGGAAATATGCTGAGGTTGCTAATATCTGCAGTACAATGAGATATTTTGAGATAGACCACATTGACATAACTTATTTATAATTGCTCTTAATCATAATTGTTAATCTCTTATTGTGCCTAATTTACAAATTAAACTATCATAGGAATGCAAATGTAGGAAAAACAGTATGTATAGGGTTTGGTACAATTTGCAGTTCAGGCATCCAGTAGACATACTGGGACATATTCTTCATGGATAAGGGAGGACTAATGTTACATTCTATACTTAGTAAATCAATCTCTCTTTCAGTTTCTTTTTATAATGAAACATATCTTTATATACACTTTGTATTTATACATCATTCCTCTTGATTATATTCCCAGAAAATACTGCTGGGTCAAAAGGTTAAATTTCTGATTAAATTTCTGGTAGATACTTTAGATGTGCTACCCAAACATAAGCCATTCCAATCTATACCCCATCATGTGTATGAACCAGAATACCATTTAGTAGTAGTCTTTTTTTTTTTTGGTACCGGGGATCAAACTCTGGTCCTTGTGCTTGCGAGGCAGGTGCCAGAACCACTGAGCTAAATCTGTATTCTTAATAACTGGATAGTATCAGTCTTTTAAATATTTGCTACAAACATGGGTAAAAAAGTTCTTCATCTATAGTTTGTATAATTATAAATAAATGAATATCAATAACCAGAGAATGCTAGAAAACTAAACAACAGAAATGTGTTATTTGTTTTCAGGTCAGTATTGACAGTTGCTTGTGAACAGACTGAAGTTCTGCTTTTTGATCCTATATCTTCGAAGCACATAAAAACACTTTCTGAAGCTCATGAAGACTGTGTAAATAATATCAGGTTAGTATTATAGGAAGAAGTGAACTTTATTACTATGACTCCATATTCTGTTTGGAAATTAGTAAACATGTTCAACATTGCTTCATGATTCACATATATAATTATGATTCTAATTCCTTGTAAAGTTTATTCTTTTTTTAATATATTCTTTTAATTAAAAAATTTACTGTTAACCATTTTGAATTGGAATTTTTCTGAGAGAAATACATTGTTACTTCCACGTGGTTTTTTTTCTTCCTCTGTATATCAAGGTCATCATTATGAATCTCAGCCTTGTATTATGCTATCCCTGTAATTCTTTTGTTCTAAAGATCTATGTAGAATCATGGCAGTCCTGCTGCTTAACATTTCTCACCACCACACCACCACCTGCCAAATCCAAATTACTGAGAGGAAAAAACACATGCATAGAGAATTTCTTTGTAACATTGTTGGAGGCTCTTTAAATTCTCAATAATGTGGGAAGTAAATTACAATTAAATAGTTTGATGGATTAATATTCAGTCATTAAGATGATGGTCATAAAAGACTACATAGCAAAATAGACAAATACTTGAGATACTATAGGTTAAAATCGTGATAAAAATTATACAAATGTGGAATAATACAGAAAGATTAAATTTATTTTAAAATACTAAGAGTAGTCAGAATGGGTGAAATATCATTAATTTTCTATTTTCTAAAAATTTTGAAATGAGATTGTGTTACTTGTATATTAATGTTCTAAAAGAAGAACTGTGGAAGTTCTAGTTAAGGTAACATTGAGTTTTGATATAATCACTTTGCTCCTAACACATAGAATAATAAATTAACACATTAAAATATAGCCAGGTTCTGAAACAATGTAAACATCTCTGTGGGACAGAAATGGAACATAGACACAAAGCTTTGAGCAATGCTGACACCATAGCCCTGCTAGGTTTTCAGTCTAACTCTGACATCTAGCAGTTTTTTCCTTCAAGTTAAAGAATTAAAAAAATTCTGAAGTATTTCATGTGAGGTAGAAACCAGAGCCAGAATCACTACGTGAAGCCAGGGCTTCAGTTGAAATGTCTGTCTCGTTTGTGAAAGACTAAAAATATAAAAAAGCTGTTCACTATTTGAGAATATAGGTTTTAGCTGATTTAAGATAGTCTCATCAACAGGAATTAAATGAAACCATTTGCTGAATCAGAGACCAAATATATATGTTTGATATTTCCAATATCATCATAAAACTGGAACCCTGAAGTGTCAATATGAAGCCTGATTGTGAACCAGGGGCCCAGATGACCAGACAACTCTAAAACCATCAAATAGGAAGAAAGAGAGAAAAAAAGTTAAAAGCTTTTCCCACTCAAGCCTGTAACCTGAATTCATGAAGACATCTAATATTAGTATCATATCAACCAACAGAACAAGCATTTTTCTGGATGAAATTAATTTTATGGAGTAGTCCAACAAAGACTTTATTTTAAAAAATAAATTATTTATTTTTTCTTTGACTAGGTAATACATGCACGTGGTACAAAATTCAAAGGTACAAAAGGGTAAACAGTGAAAAGTAAGTCTATTTTCACCTCTGTCGCCTAGCCACCCAGTTTCTCTCCCCAGAGGTAACCACTATTGCCTATTTCTTGATATCTTTTCTGAGTTAGTTTATGCATGTATAAATATATATACACACACATATACTTTTATATAAATGGTAGCATTCTACACATATTATTGTATGCCTTGCCTTTTTCACTGAACATATTTAGATAGCATTCCATATTAATATTCATGGGAGAATCTTACATTTTTAACGGCTGCATAGTATTCCATTGATTGGGAGACACTTTTAAGACCTTTTAGGATGCTCAAAGAAATAAATTAAGGATACTATCCAATTAAAGAGAACTCAACATTATAAAATGAGAGGTAAAACAGGAACAGGTTAATGTAGTAAAGAATCAACTAGAACACTTGGAAAGTAAAACTGTAGTTGGTATATTAAAAGCCCAGGGGAAAAAAGGTAGATTAGAGAATATAGCTTGCCTCTCTTGATTTAATCTCCAGAACTGCAGTGACCAGTGGGATGGGATAGTGGAACTGGAAGGGGAATGGCCCAATTTCTTTAGGAACTGGGGTATAACTTAGAGCACATGCTTATCAGTACCTGTGTTCAATCCCCAGCACCAAAATAAAAAACTTAGTAGAGGGCCGGAGATTTAGCTCAGTGGTGCTGCCACCTGCCTCGCAAGTGCAAGGTCCTGAGTTGGATTCCCCGGTACCAAAAAAACCCCAAAAAGCCCAAACTTAGATAAGATAAGCTTTACGCTGTATACCACTGCTGAATGAATTAGTGGTTTATAAAATAGTACTAAAAATTCACCCAAAACACAGAAAAAAAGATGATAAATATCTATAGTTAAAAGATGGAGAATTAACTGACAGATTAATGTATATAAAAAGTTGCAGGAGAAAAAAACATGGAAATCGGTAGAAAACTAATTTTATAATGGCTTAGAATTTGTAATATTGAGAAGGCCAGAGCCCTCAAATCAAAGTGTCAAGCAGATTAACTAAAGATAAAACCAAATCTAGACTGTTTATGGCGAAACTCTAGAATATCAAAGATTAGGAGCAAATTTCAAAAGCCCTTAAAATGAGAAACCAAATTACAGAATTATGATGGTTAACAGATTTCTTATCAGTAATAGTTGATATCAGGAAAAAATGGAGTAATGTTGATGTCTTTGATATTATAACAGGTAAACTACTAAGATTGAAGAATTTTAATTAGGTAAAATGTTACAAGTTATCAATAGCATAAACAATATAATTTGGAAGAGTTTTGGGGGTAGAGGGCCACATTTTAAAACAAAGTTGAAACTAAAGCTAAGCCAGTCATGGGTAGCACTGACCTATGGTCCTAGCTTCTTGGGAGGCTGAGGCAGGAGGATCACTTCAGCCCCATAGTTCAAGGCCAACCTAGACATCACAATAAGACCTCTATCTGAGAAGCAGACAGAAAAAGTACAGGGCTGGGGATGTAGCCATGATAGAGTGTTTGCCCAGGATGTGTAAAACCCTGGGTTTGATCCCCAACATCACAAAAAAACAAAACAACAAAAACTAAACCTCTGGATTAACACTAGCCAATAGAAATGTAATATTAGCCACATATGGAATTTTAATGTTGTAGTACTTACATTTAAAAATAAATAAATAGGCAAAATTAATTTTAATAATGTATTGGCCAGGAATGGTGGCTCACACCTGTAATCCCAATACTCAGGAGACTGAGACAGTAGGATCACCTGAGTTTAAGGCCAGCCTGGACTACATAGCGAGACTCTGTCTCAAAAAAACAAAAACTGTCAGTATATCCTACTTTCATTTTCTCATTCAAAATCTTTAAAATTCATTATGTGTTTCACACTTAGAGCACATCTCAAGTCATACCAGCCACAGATCAGGAACTCAAAATGTACTATCTATGTGTACTAGTTCCCCCTGATGAATGTAATTATTATATATCACAAGCATAGACTAATTTTAAAAAACACATAACAACAAAAAAGCTGCATGTGGCTAATGGCTACGAAATTGGCATTGTAGCTCTAGATAGTGACAACAAATAGGTTGAATGTATGGGAGAGATTTATTTAGTGGGAGGATATATATTAAAGCCCAAATCATGTTTAGGAAGAAGATAGAAATGTCAGTAACTTTGGATGCTTTTAGATCAACGTATAACCAAATATATACAATAAAGAACCAAAAAGATAAAGAAAATAATGGAAATATAATATATAGCTTTCAAACCAACAAAAGACAGAGAGAGAATACTGTATTGAAAACCTGATCACTCCAGTAGAAGATAGGAAAGCTTAATAAAGTTTTTAAAAAATTAAATCAAAAGAAAAGGGTGATAGGGCCGGGATTCAGCTTAGTGGTTCCAGCGCCTGCCTTGCAGGTGCAAGGTCCCGAGTTCGATCTCTGGTACCAAAAAAACAAGAAAAGAGTGATAAGTAGCAAAAAGAGTTCCACATGTGAGTAGTTCACAGTAAATATAAATGGATTGGTCTTCTTTATTAAAGAAGACACAGTAATTTAAATTAAAAAACTGTCTATTCGTTTTAGAGATACCAATAATAAAACCAGAAAGAAAAAAGAAAACGGTGATTATCTGTGTTAACAGATGAAGAATTAAACACTTTAATAGTGATAAAGTGCAAGAGTATATATTAATTAAAGGAATAATCTACCAAGAAGATATAATCATGACCTTTTAGGTACCTTAAACATAGCCTTGAAATACACAAAGCAAAACAGTTTTAAAGAATTGCAAGTCTGTAATCATAGTGAGCGATTTTAATACAGTTCTATCTAAAACTGTGTTGAACATAAAAATTAGGTGGTAGATTTTTTTAATATCCTGAATAATCATTCTGCTAAAAAGATAGATGGATGTAAATATATATGTATATTATAAATATATGTGTATGTTGAGTGGATATGTATATGTATATTGAGTGGATAAAAAAAGGAATCTGTGGGCTAAAAATGAAATGGAACCAAGAATGCAAAGAAGTAAAAAGGTATTCAGCTTCTGACCGAGAAACATCTGCCAGTGCTGGTGACCCTGAGCTTCTGCTTTGACAGATGTGAGGAGTACAAGGAATAGAAGTAATTCTAAGGCTAGGTCAAGATAAGAATTGTAGAAGACCCTGGATAAGGATGGGAGCCCAGAGAGTGAGCTTTTGGCATGAAAGTGATCTGGAAATAAATCACTCTGTTATCTAGACTGGCAGTGGGTAGTGTCAGAAGATCTCTATGATTTTCTAACCATAACTTGGAGATCATACATGTATGGGATCCAAATTCACACTACCATATAGTCCAGAACCTCCAGCCGATTTTAAATTGAGTCCGGGTTGGAAAGGCTATCAGGTACCTGCAAAAAACAAATGCAAATCCTCTCTGGAGGAGAAAACCTAGTATCATTACAAAGTCAATTTCTCCCAAGATAG